CCCTGTATGTAGTTCTGCTTCTGACTGATGGATGTTCTTTATGTTTTTCTAATCGATTATCTCTGGAATAAAAAAAGGAATAGTTTAATGTAATGAAATAACGCGAAAGAAATGTACTAAAAACTTATTGTTTTTAGCCTTGACGTTTGTGCAAAAAATATGAAATCGAAAACGCACACATCTTTAATTATATAAGAAATATATAATCATTCTTGTTGAAGCATCCAATAAAAGTCTGAAAAACAGATAAAGCAAAAAATTGTTTAATTGGTTGTTATATAAGAACATTTATTGTTAATATCGTTATTTTTTTAACAATGAAGAATATTATTGTTTAATAGCAGACACCAGCTTTTTACAACAAATCCACGCTTAAGCTTAATAGTACCTACCCGTGTAGTAATTATACGGTAATAAGGAATTGTTGTTTTGTCGGTGTGTATCAGCGCCGAGATAATATGCTTTAATTGCTCTTAAACATGATTGTTAATGGTTAATGATATCGATATTACCTTGTCCACAGAAAAGCCAACATCTTACATTAATTATCAGGATTTTTTTAATTTATTTTAAAATTGGAATTTTCATATATCTTATTTGATCAGAACAGGATTGACTATGCTCCCATTGAAATGCATTAAATAAATTAATTTTTAAACCAAATTTTTTATTTTAGGAGCTACAGATGCCCTATGCTAGGCCTGTTCCAAACACCGGAACACCGTTTTAACACCGGTGCGTGTTGGGCTGACAAACTGAAATTTTTATCTTTGCGGAAGAATAAAGGTTCTTATTTTAAAATTGCCTGTACGATCTAGACAAGAATTTGAAGTAGTTAGCGGTTATGCGAGGGTATCTTTCATCCCCACTGATATAATGAATTCCACGAGAAATGTTCAAAAACGGTCCCGTCTGGCCATAACAGAAGACGGTCGTGACCAAGAACGGTAAGCTAATAGGATTGTTCATCCTCATAAGACGTACGTTCGCCTCTTCCCGCGCTTCAGCTGACAGTTGTGACGTCATTGTAGCCCTTGTCAAAGCCTTCGTGGCCTTGTCATGATAGTGTGTATTATTAGTTGCCTATAGTAAACTTATAAAAATAACAGCTGAGAAATTTTGAGTTAATTATTTTGTCAATTTTAAATGTGAAGAAGGTGTCTTTAAAGTTTTTAGATCTGTAGAGTGTATAAATACGTTCATTTTTGTTGTGGATTGTGACAAAGTTCATACTAAGTGCCCACGATTTTGTTTATTAATTATTTTAAAGCAAAATATGGAAGTACTCTAGAAAGAATGCTTGCAAAAGGTGATGCTGGGAACTGCTGTTCTTAAAAATGCATTATCCGAGTATTTAATACGATTTATACAGTTAATTTTCTATACTGCATACATATAAGGTGTTTAAATAAATAAACTAAATAATGAACGTTTTGCATTCGGCAACCAATAATGCACGTGTGTGTATTATTGGTTGCCGGATAAGGACTAATAACTATGACAAGAACTACAATGACGTCACAAAGCGAGTAGTTTTCGCATGCACCTGGCGGACACTTTTGGCTGAATGAGCAGTCCTATTAGGTTAACTGTTCTTGCGCGTCGGCCACTTCTCTCCATAACTGAAGCCACTGTTCTCGAGAATTGTAGTTACTGCTTTTTAGTTGTTCAGCTGTTCGTAAAGGTGGATTTCTCGACTTCAGTGTATTCAGCTGTAAAGCAGGAAGTGTTTCATGAACATGTAGTGTTGGGTTAGCTAGATTTGGAGGTAGGATGTTACTCAGAACTGGAAGCCAGTAACTAGGTGTGCATCTGATTGTCCTTGTAATCAGCCGCATGGTGTTGTTCAGCTGTCTGTCTACGAGATTTGTGTGGTGACTGTTCAACCACACGGGTGTACAATATTCGGCCACACTGAATACCAGGCCAAGGGCGGAGATCCGAAATGTTGTTGCTTTTGCACCCCAAGAAGTACCAGAAAGTTCATGTTGTTTCGTGTTCTGATTTTACCAGCAACATTTTCTAGGTGTTTTCGAAATGAGAGTGTACGGTCTAGAGTAATCCCCAGTTATTGTGGATATTTGTTATTACGCAGAGTGGTGTTATCAAACTGACGCTTATTTCAGTATTCGCCAGCTTGTTATTAAGATAGAAGGTAGCCACTTCTGTTTAATTTGCACTGGGTTGAAGTCTCCATTTTATAAAATAGGCATTCAAGGATGCGAGATCCTTTGTAAGCGTTTCTTGGGTTTGATATAGCGATTCATGTTCAGTTGCTATGGCTATATCGTCTGCGTAACAAAATGTTCTAGATTGCGTATCTGGTAGGTCAGAGATGTATAAGTTGAATAAGAGAGGGGCGAGAACGGAGCCTTGGGGTAAGCCGTTGTTAAGTTTTTTAGGTTTACTTGTGCTTCTTCTCCCTGAAATACTAAAACTCTATATCTCGAAAAGGAATTGACGAAAATATCAAGTAGGTATGCTACATTTCTGGAAAAGTAATTTTAAATTATTTTCAATGATTTAAAAATATACAGTGTGCCCCATATAAAAAATCAAATTTTCTGTTGATAATTCTTAAATTATTAATTTAACAAAATACACTTCAATCATTAAATTCTACGTAAAAAGGTAATTTGCGAATAAATTACAACATTTTCCATAGCAAAATAGTTATAGCGATTAGTTAAAAATTCACATTTTTGAAAAACACAACGTAACTCCGAAACGATAACAGATATCGCGGTGCGGTTTTCATCATCATGTTTTTGATAAAAATTGAGCCCTAGATACCAATATTAGTTTTCGTCTATCTTCTATTTTGGATGTTTCCCTTTAAAGACGTCGAATTTGGCCCACCCTGTACAATAGCTTATTAATGTAATTTTAAAAAGCAAAATAAAAACACTAAATCACCACAATACACCAAAACCCTTTTACTTTTACACTGGACGCGCGTTTCGCTAACCATGTTAGCATCATCAGCAGATGATTATAAACTAAAGTATAATCTACAAGTTGAGCGTTTATATACTCGCTCTGTGGTCACCGAGTGGGCGTGGCAAAATCTAGCCAACCGAGTCAGAGCCAACTGAGCCAACCGAGTAGTAGGAACAAAGAACTTGAAGGACTTGGACCGTTGACTCTGTTCATACTATCTTTACATTTATTAATTCTGATGCTTTCATATGCATCTAATTGCCTGTAATTTGAGACTTGTTTAATTAATTTTAAATTATTAAGATCTATACAATGTTCATTATCAACAATATGTTCGGCAACGCAAGATTTATCCGGTCTACCATATCTTATCTCAGCTAAATGTTCTTTAAATCTAGTTAATACTGATCTTCTAGTTTGCCCAACATATTTCTGATTACAATCTTTTATTATTACAAGAAATTTCATAAATACCCGACCTTTCCAGTGGAGGTGTTTTATCTTTTGGATTACCTAATAATTGTTGTAATTTATTATTAGCACTATACACAAGTTTATAATTGACATTCTTAAAAATTCCTTTTAGACCACGGGATAACTCTCTATCAAACGGTATCGAAAAATATTTAGACGTACCTTTCTCCACTTGAAAAGTCGAATTTTCAGAAATCATTAACCTATACCTACGTTTTCTAATTAATTTATCAACTAGTGAAGGAGAATATCCATTACACTCAGCTACATTCCTAATGTAATCTCTTTCTATTTCATATCTTTCGTTGGAAAGTGGGAAACTAAGTAATCTATGAACTAAGAAATTTAAACTAGCCATTTTATGTTCAACACTATGATGTAATTCATTAGGAATATATCTGCGTGTGGTCGTATTTTTCCTATAGATATCAAATTCCAGGCAATTATTAGTATTTCTAATAACTAATACATCTAGAAATGGTAATCTGTCGTTCTCAATTTCATGCGTAAATTTAATGGAAGGAAAACGATTATTTAACTTAGAAATAAAATTATCTATGGTGTCTGAATGTGTGTCAAAAACAGCAAAAATATCATCCACATACCTAAACCATACTCTTGGAAAATACTCAAACTGATTCCTAGCCTCCACTTCAAACCTGCTCATGAATAAATTAGCGCTCATGAATAAATTAATTAAAATGGAGACAATGGATTACCCATTGCTGTACCTTCCCGCTGTTCAAAAAAGTTGTTATTAAATTGAAAACAATTTTGTTTCATACATAACGATGTAAGCTCAATATATTCACTCACAGTTTTGTTGTCGAGACCATTTGCGTTCAGTAATTCCTTTAAGTAGCCTAAAGTATGTGGAATTGGAACACTTGGGAACAACGAAGATACATCAAAGGAGACCAAAATTTCACCTTCATGCAATGTTATATCTTTAATTTTGTTAATGAATTCAATATTATTTTTAACTGAGAAAGAAGGTTCATGATCAGGTAAATTTTCGAACTCCCTTGATAACCATTTTGCCAATTGCCAAATTCTAAGTCGGAGAACCTACAACCGAAACAATTGGGCGCATAGACTTGTCCGGTTTATGAATTTTTGGCAAAGCATACAATTTTGGTAATGAGGGATTGGATACTTGCAATTTCCTCTTTAAAGAAAGATCAATAAGGGTGTTACATTCTTTTAGAGTTTTTTTAAGCCTATGGACTTTACAAAAAACTTACTTATAAGCTAACTAATGTAGAGTATGAATGTTGGTGTCTCTTTCAGAGGCCCAACTAACCTTAAAAATATTGGGCCCTAAATTACCCAAGGGTGATTAAAAATAATATAATGGCGTTTAGACTGGACTTATTATATTAGGGTGTACCCAGGATTGGTAAGTACTAGTTAGCGTAAGTCACTAGTTAAAGCAAGTAACGACGTTGGTAGTACGGAAGGTCTATGACATTTCTGGGCCCGATTGTCGATCTGCATCTCGTTCGGCCACACCACCAGCGAGCAAGATCTCGGAAACTGTCCTTGACAATCAAGTTCGCTAATTCCGCGCTATATATAATCAGATATCGAGGCAGCTGCCGCGAGAGTACCTGGGTACCAGACAGATTGGCGGCAGCGATTTTTTTGCGTTCGGCTTCTTTTCATTCATCGAACGTTTCCGCGTTTAATCTTGCGCGTGAAGGTGATTCGGGTGGTTTCGTTGCTTTCTTTGGTTTTCGAAGAGATACTGCTTTTATTGGTGATTTTATTAATTGAATTTTCTTCGCTATAATGAGGTGAGTAGCGATATTTTTATATATAATTTTTATCTTTATTTAACTCTTTTTCAATAAAAGGTTCTAAAATATATTGTTGTTAATTTCTAGATTTTTTTTTCAAAGTAAACTAAATAATTCATCAAATTCTTAATTAATGAGGAAACAAAAGCTTGGTCAGCTGAAATGACGAAAAATAGGGCATGGTCAGCTCACAACGTAGGGCAACCTTTCTTTTAGTTTTCAATTTTTAGATGGTACTTTTCTATAGGAAATAGACAAAAACTAATATCGGTGTCTGGAGTTTAATTTTTGTCAAGAACATGATGGTGAAAACAGCATATCGGTGTCCCATATAAAAAATCAAATTTTCTGTTGATAACTCTTAAATTATTAATTTTAAAAAAATTATACTTAAACCATTAAATTCTACGTAAAAATGTGCTTTGGAAATGTTTTTATAGAAATACAAAATTTTCCATAGCAAAAAAGTTACAGCGATTTGTTAAAAATGCACATTTTTGAAAAACACCCCGTAACTCCGAAACGGTAACAAATATTGATGTGCGGTTTTCACCATCATGTTTTTGATGAAAATTGAGCTCCAGACACCAATATTAGTTTTCGCCTATCTCCTATAGAAAAGGGTGTTTCCATTTAAAAGCGTCGAATTTGACCCACCCTGTACATATTTTTAAAATATATTTTTTGTTAATTTCTTCACTAGTAGTGATAATTTTATATGTTATTTTTCTTTATCTTCTTTATTTTTTCTCAAAGTAGTAACCAATTACTTGTATTTTGAAAATATATTTTTCATTTTAATTTCTAAGATAAATATTTTTTAATTAATATTATAAAATAAAGCATGGTCAGCTAACAGAGAATAGCATTTTCTATTTTTTACAGCCTGTAGTAAAAACATATGTTAGTAACAACTATAGACGTGTTTCTGGGGTCGAAATATACTAACCCTAAAAATATCGGCACTTATTTAAGACTCACCCTGTATAATAATATTTTCCATTTAATTAATTTTATTAATTAAAACTTTTATATTTAATAGTAAATATCATTAAAATTCTTGAGTTACAAATGGTGTAACTAACCCGAGTTTATTTTAATTATTTAGATTTACACAATTAATATAATTACATATTATATTAATTATTTTTAATCCCTGTTTAATTTTGTTTACTGAAACAAATATCTCGTTTTTATAACAAATGTAACATTACCATTTAAATCTCTGAATTTCCAATAAAAAAGAATCAAAATAATTGTATGGAAATATTTCATAAATTAATTCAGAATATTAATTTTTAATTAATCTAGTGTATTCCAAGTGTAAAATACAATACGGTTTTAATTTAAAAAAAAATATCAACCGAATATTACGGTTTACATTTGCATCTAAAAATAAAACGGAATTAATTAATTTATATTGGACCTCCGCTAAATCTAAACCAATGTCGATAGAATAATTTGAACGGCCAGCCGGCAGTGATCGGTCTGGCCAATAGTTAATACATGCTAATGTTATTCAAACAAGATTCTCTGGTTTCGTTAACATTGGCGGTCTTTAATTTTTAAAGTGATTTCTAATGGGAAATAAAAGTTTATAAAATTAATCTCCTACCTTTTTCGATTTCAAAAATTGTACAAGGTTTTCAAAGATATTAGTGCGATACCTGCGGGCTTAAGCTTGATTTTCATGCATCCGTTATCCGTTGATACGATGATCCGTGTGTGTTCTTACAGATCTATTGTGTGTTCCCCTTTCTTGAGTTATAAATAGTTATAACTCATCAGACAGTCTCAGGGCTTTAACAAAAAACAGTATCTGAGACGGAGGTCAGCTCTCCATGCTCGATATCAGCCGTGCCAAAGTTCATGGCACGAACGGTCGTCGCCGTCGTCTCGGCGCACTCAGTGATAAGGTGTTCTGGTGTTTCCCCATTTTCCCCACAGAATAGGCATCCGCAGTTGTTTCTCAGCTTTAGCCTACTGAGATATTCGTTGAGGAGTTCAGTATCCTGTTAGAAACACCGTGACAATCCGAAGATTGTTTTTACCTAAATCAAGGAAAACCTTTGATTTTCTCGGTAGTAAGTTCTGAAATTGTTGTCGAGTGTCTTAGACCCTTGGAGGACATCCATTCCAGGTTCCACATGGAGTCTTCCAGATTCTTCAGTTCCGCTTTCAGTTGGTTCCCGCTTGGAAAACAGAACGGTTCTGGACCAGTTAGTGGTGTGTTCGCTCCTTTTCTAGCTAGATCATGGAGCTAGAGTAGGAGGAGGATTTTATTTTCTTCGCCTAATTTGTTGAGCTTCTCTAGGCATTCTTTGATCAACTTCGATAGCGTAAATTTCTGCCTCAAGGATGCTGGGGTAGGTGTCCAATGGTTCGGAGTATTTAGTTTTCGGCCCAAATACTCCTATCCCTGTCCCTGCTTTGGTTTTGAAAGCATCAATATACCATGTTATGGTATGGTCTTTTACATGCTGAGCAAACGTTTCTTCCTTCCCAATCCTATTTATTACTCAATACTACAGTTACGTGTTTCTCAAAGTTGTAAATTCTTGGTATGTCATCCACTGGGAGTTGGAGAAGTGGAATTTTCTTTTTGAGGGTGTTCCAAGCATCTGACCTAAAAATTCTCTCAGTACTGTTTCCGTCAATGACCACTCTAATCATTGTCGCATTGACATAACTACCGACGACAATGTGCAGTGGTGTTAGGTCTAGAATGACCTCCATTGCTGCTGTTGGACATGTTCTCATTGGCGCTGTGATGCTCTAGTTTTGTGTACCAACAACTGCTCCATAGGTAATCATGGGTCTTACTATCATGGTATACAGCCAGCGCAAAATGTTAGGGGCACAGCCCCACCTATTTCCTGCCAGTTTTCTGCATATCATAAAAGTTTTTGTGGCTTTGCTGGTAATGTTCTTAATATGTCTGTTCCAAGTTTACTGTCCAGGGTTATTCCCAAATATTTAACTTCCTGTGATGGCAGTATTTCCCTTCGACAAATTGACGAAAAAAACTGTCAACTTGAATATTAATGTATAGATTATAATTATAGTCCATTTCGAAGATATATACACATATATCATGTTTAAAAATTTCTTACTATACAGAGTGTCCCAGAAATAAGTGCAAATATTTTAAGGGGTGGTAGATCTCGATAAAAATATTTTCTCTTTGTCGTTTTTCAAATAAGTCCAAAATAACGGAGTTATTTTACAAAATTTCCAAAAATGATTTTTTGCTTAAATTTTGAGAACCACTGGATCTTTTCTGGATTTTCTTTCTTGTAAATTTAATCTACTACCTATGTTGTCATATTATCAAGAAATTATGTTTTTTAAATAAAAACTAAAAACATTTCCAAAAAAATTTTCAAAAAATTTCGAATTTTCAAAAAAAAAATTTCGCGAAAAAACGTCATAGGCGTGTTTTTGGAGTTCACGTCATAGGCGTGTTTTTGGAGTTCAACTATACTACCAGTTAAAATATTTGCATTTATTTCTGGGACGCCCTGTATAACTAAATAATCAAAAAAATTATACAAAAATTTGGAAATTAAAAAAAAACGTATAATAAAATAAAATAACTAAATTAATAAGAATAGACAGAAAAATCCAAGTGATTCAGCAAAGTATACAGTTTACAGCATAGCTTGCTTATGTAGCGTATTGAATAATGCATATTTGCGATAAGATCTCAAAGTCATTTTTTAGTCCTCCGTATAATGCACCTAGGTTAAGAGTTGCATTGTGGTTGTTGAACTCGGGTTGCCAAGCCGTTTATCTGCTAAAATGTTTTGCGCTGTACAAATACATTAATAATCTATCTAACAAAGCAGCTGGGGTATTATTACAACAGCTTAAAGTGCTGTTAAAAGTAAATTTATCTAACTGAACCTAAACGTTATATCTATTTGACTCTTTCATGTGCATACATATTTAATTTCTTTTATTTTATTAATTCTCATTAGTATTTGCAGTTAATTCTTTATTACATCAACTTTAAGAATAATAAAAAAACTATCAAATGTTAAATATTAACGTTTAAATTTTTATAAATACCATTGCAGAAAATTTTCACATTAATCATAGATAATAATATTTCATCTAATTTATAAATTTTTTCTATAGCTTAACTCCCAAAATTGCCTTATGTCAATAAAAATAGTAGATAAATAGTACTTTAACCACAAGGGTAGATTAAATGATACTTTAACAAAGGCATGAGGAGAATTGATTTTATTTGATATTTGACAAAATTGCTTAACATAACCAAGACATTGTTATTATTGAAGATTTCGTTTATTCCAATAAATTCGATTTTAGATTATTTGGAAAAGACTTACCTATTCTGAGTATGTAGGCTATAATCGTATGGAGTATAAACACCCATAAACACATTGAAATGGTGCAAAAAACGATTGTTGCTAGTGCCGGACTTTGTAAGGACTGTTACAAAATAAAGAGAGTCCCTGTTCTGTTAGATCATCAGAACGAAGAGAATGCATTAAGTTAGGATAATAGTGATAAAACAGTAATTTATAAATTATTTTATTTAATTCCTTTCAATTATAAACCATTACTACATATTATATAAAATGCTAATGTTTATCTGTGTCGTCTCTACTGAAGTAACGACTTGCTCTAGAAAGTTGCTTTTTTTACTAAAAGATAGTTAATTGGCTCGTCTAAAAACTGTCGTCGCCGGATTTTTTGTTTTTCATTTAATTAAAAAAAATAAAAAGTATTTTTTTTTCCTGATGTCGTGGCGGATGCGCTAGGCTTTAACTAGTTTTTAATAAAGCTCTAAAGTAGGTAAAAAATAAATAAAACTTTTTAAATCAAACTACATATTTATTTCATTTTCAATTCGCATATCTTAATTTATTAATATTATAACAGGAACCTTATAAAACCAGTTATTCAACTCACATTTGCTTTTATTTCTTTTGTGTTACAATTTTAGTTTAATTTTTTGCACTATGTACCTTATACCGTATGATCGAAAACAAAACGGCGTCCAGTTGGCTGGGAAATGATGATCGATGATATTTCCCATATAAATTTACATATGAAATGACAGCAATCTTTATTTCATAGCCATTGCTGACGCCGTTTTTTTCGATCATACGGTACATCTCTTCTCCATGCTGTTTTTTAAGTAACTCTCTAGCTAAACCTTGCTAAAACATCTGTATTGTGGTCCTTTGAATTCCAGTTAGTTCAACTTTGTTTAGACAAGATTTTTCCTTTATTTTTTGAAGTTCCATCACTTTGAGTTCTTAAAAATAAAAGTAATATGACAAAATTGTTTTTATTTAATTTTTTTTATTAAATAATTTGTGCATATAATGTGTAAATGTAACAATTATTATAGGTACTATTCATTTATTATTATTAAGACAAAAGTATAAGTGCATTTATCTATTTTATAAAATAAAAACTCACCTTAATTACTATCATTCATGCTATCCTACCTATTTCTTTACTATGAGAAGCCCTAGAACAATTAATTTGTTATTACTAACAGTCTTATGCTATTTTTAATTTTCAATATTAATAACTTACCAGATGGTGGTTTTAGGATTTGTTTATAAATCTCTGCTTGCACTTCACCAGCTTCTTCCATATTTTCTATTATCAATTGTACTAAAATGTTAATATAATAAATATAACAGTAATATCATGTAATTAAACTATAAATTACTTACAGATTATTTTTTCTTGTTATAATTTCTTATAAATCGCATTCCATCAAGAGATCTATTGCACCACCACCAGTGCTGAAATTGAATTATCTTTCCCTTTTTCCATAAAGGTAAATGTAAATAGCCTATACCATAATAGGACTAGTTGGAGTTGAACACAAAATATATTTTAGTTGAATTTTATTGTTTTTATTTTCATTTTGACGATTTTTTGACAACTGAACAATAACCTCACTTTTTAATCTAACCATTTGAAATTCCGGGTTTCTGTCTCTGTCTGTTGTATCGACTTTTCATATTTAACCATCTCAATTTCAGATATCTTATATTGGCAACACTTTCTCTACGGAGTGTCTACCGGTCCGTAGGCGGCCGTCCTCCAAATTGTTATCTATTGGATTATTTTGTATGAAAATACCCAAATGTTATATCCTATAGATATCAGGCTCTAGATTGTTTATCTTTTAGATGGTTATTTGTTAGATAAAAGTTATTTATTTATAACTGAAGAGACCGCGCCTAAGAATAATAAAAAAAAACTATCAAATGTTAAATATTGACGTTTAAATTATAATTCTTTATTAGTTATTTATTTTTATAAATACCACTGAGATAATTTTCACATTAATCATAGTTAACAATATTTCAGTAATTTATAATTTTTTTCTATAGCAACTATTAAATTGCCTTATATCATCAAAAATAGTAGATAAAATAGTAATTTAACCACAAGCGAGGATAGGTTAAAAACTTTATTTCTTCTCGCACGTTTTTTAATTGCTTCCACTTTTGAAAATTTTTGTATTCCTTTTCATAAGTTATTTGGGATTTAAATGGAAGTAGTTTGGATATGGCTTTTGTCGCCTCAGCCTGAATATCTGTTGGTAATTTACTTATTTCGTTTTGAGCCATTTGAGCCTCCAATTCAATCAGCAATCGACACGAAAAAGAATTAAAAAATATTGACTCAAAACTGACAACTAAAGAGACAGTTTTATTTATTTGTCAAATTACATAGAAACCAACGCCAACCCAGCAAAATATTTTTTCTACTCTTAATAAATTCCTTGAAATAATAATTTCTGAATATTTTTTAAAATGTAACTCGCTATGGAAAAAAATAACGATAATGCAATTTTATCGTCGTGTATAAAAACGACGATAAAATTGCATTATCGTCTCCCGAAATTAATCTTTTCGGTCGACGATAAAATACCATTTTATCGTCTTGTATAAAAAATAACTATTTCTTTACTTTTGCAAATTTATTTAGTAGGCATTATTTCTGTTATAATTTTCAAAAAGTAAACATATTACCTAGTTGATTATAAAGTTTTTATTCTTGTCTTTTAATTTCCTCTTGGTATTTAGAATATTAACTGCGTTTATTTAAATTTGGTATAGCAGTAATGAAAACAAATTTGCTTATGCAGATTTTTAGTGACGAATAATACAAATATGCATTAGGAAAATTATATTTTGAGAATATTAAAAGCATTCCTAGGTATTCCTAGGATAAAAATATTTATATTACAGAAACGTAATATTATCAGGGCTATTCATTACCTTAATTTGCGTCCAGGGCTAAAATGTCACCCCAAAAAACATTCAAAATCACTCGACAGGTAATTAGGTCCAAAGATTTACTTAATTCCGGAATAAACGGACCTGTTACGGAATTCGGCTTTTTTAAAAACCATCCATCATTGTCACGTTTTTTGTTCTAGATGGCAATTGATTTAAAGCAGCTTTAAATTTAGTACGGGCTGCCAGGAGTGAAAAAAGAAATGGGGACAAAGTATTCAGGTTTAGAAACAGAATGTTTAAAAGTTAAAAAATAGATTTAAATATTTATCTCTATTTAAAAAACACCAGCCCTTGATTACAATACGTTACTATTATTAACGGACTAAAATATGATACTTGTAGATTTATCCGTTAGAGGAACCACCTTGTGCGTATAATTATTTTTAAGGCATCGTTGTTTAAATCTTTTTTTGTCTTTTTAGCAACATTTTTTGACAAAGTAATTCTGACTTTCTGTTATTCAAAAATTTTAACTCTTTCTTATATAGTGTTGCACAAGAGTCTTGAAAAAGTCTTGTAAGACCAAGACTCTTGCAAGAAATTCAAGACAAGACTTTCAAAATTTCTTGTCTTGAATTTCAAGACAAGACTTTAATATGCAAGAAATTTCAAGTCTTGAAAGATTTCTTGAATTCAAGATTTCTTGAAAGTTAGAAATGATACATTTTTTTAAGTGATAATTAGGTTTTTGCTTAAGTTATGACGGGTTTATACAACTTTTACATAGTCGTAATCACAATCATAGTCATAATCATAAAAGTTAAACTATCCACTTCTTATAAACCTGTTGACATCTACCATGAACTTAGCCTTTAATTATGATACCCAACTTCACTGATGTAAAAAAATGATTATGAAAATGTTCTATAAACGCACATTAAAATTGCATTGTGGTTATGACGATGATTGAGACTGTGATTATGATTACGACTTATGCAAATGTTGTATAAACCCGGCATTAATATTGACCAGTGTTCATTTTTTTTCTATCAAAGCCAGTGTTTTAGAGTTGAAATAAAATGAAGTCGAGACAACAAACCGTATATTGGTAATTGGTATTATACACAAAATTATATTGGTATAAAGGTATTATAAAAAGAAACTAACGGTAGTTGAAACTAATGGTGGGTTCGTGGAGCACGCTATTTGCGCTATTTGGTACTACTTGTCATGCACGAAATTGCCCCGCGAACAAAAAGTAGTATCAAATAGCGCAAATAGTGCACTCTAGCATGACTTTCCGTACACCCTGTGTCCAAACTTTTCCAACCAATCTTCCATAATAAAAAAATAAAATAAATACCATAAAAAATAAAAGTAACAAACGGGTAATCAAAATAGAACATAATAAACCAACAAGAATTAACAGCTTTTATTTGGTAATGGCTCCTGTTTCGTCAAACGGGCGAGTTGACGTAGTTTGTTTGCGGTCCGTTAAGAATTTTTTTGCTAAAATTAGCATAGTTGTTGTTCATTTTTCCGTACTACATTTTGTATACGAGGCTTACTAGGAAATAAAATATAGAAATATTATTACCTTTTTGTTAGAATGTAAAATTTTTCAAGACAAGAAATTTCAAGACTCTTGCAAGACAAGACAAGACTTTGCCATTCAAGAAATCTGCATGACAAGACTTTGAAAATTTCTTGTCTTGAATTTCAAGACAATACAAGAAATTTATATATATTTTCTAGACAAGAATTCTTGTCTTTTGCAACACTATTCTTATATCAATTTTATTTATCTGATGATATCTTGTTCTATTAAAAATAAAGGTGTGTTTTTTTCCATTATAGAATGCTCTATTTTACAAATTGTTATATAAGCCTACACAAATTTACTGTCATTACTCGCTGACGAGTATGTGACACGCATCAGAAGATGGTCACGCAAGGCGTTTTCTTTCTTGAGCTTTTCTGTGACTGAAAAGTTTGATACGTGATGCCATCTCTCTACTGCACTCCGGGCATTCAAAAATCTCATTGCTTTGTTGCCTTTTTACTTTTTGGTTGTCTCTGTTATCTGAATTAACAACTATTCTCCTCCATTGTTTCTCCACTATTGTGCACTGCTTCTTCCCACTTATTCTGCATGGTTATCTCGTTTAAGTTTTCCTGGGAAATATCCTTTTTAGTCGTCCACCCGGTTTCCTATTATCGTCTACAAGCTCACCGTAAAGAAGAGATTTTGGTGGGCGGTTTTCTTGCATCCTGCATACGTGACCAGCCCATTTTAAGCAGGATTTTTCGTTTTTGTGCTCAAGTCGTGATTGTAAAGAACCCTGTCTTTTAATTTCCAGAATGCTCTTGAGGCGCTGGTAATTCTGTGCTGAACTTCAGAGTCGATATTAGCCTTTTCTGAAATCAAACTTTCCTACATAAACTACAAACCTATAAACAAACAATAAATTAATTCTAAATTCAATAATTTTATATTTTTATTAAGATAAGATACACCTCTACGAAGTTATTTTTTATTGTTTAAAAGTGAATAATACCAATATGCAATGTAACTTATTTCATTAATTACAGAGGTTATACACAATCAAACATAAACACCAATAAAAGTGAATACAAAAATGTACCTAAATATATTAAGCTAAAATATTTTTTTTTATAATTTCAGGTGTTCTTCCAGTTCAGACTATTTCATTGCTGCCGTTCTAAGCTTTTCATTCCTAGCAACATGCAGGGCATGTCAGCGAACTATCTTAAGTAAGTATATTTATTTTTCATAAAATACTCTTTAAATGGGTTTGTTCGAGTCACATAAGATTTTTTTCACTAATAGGAGCAAATGGTGTAACACTAGAAGAAAAGAAGGTCATTTTGGAAAGACATAACACAATGAGACAATCAGTAGCGTTAGGACAAATTGGTGGACAACCACCAGCTTCAAATATGATGGAAATGGTATGTAATTATCTATTTGAATACTTTTTGTATTAATACTATTTGAATAATTTTTATTTGTACACATGATTCAACTGAAGAAACCGAAAACCACCAGAATATGCTATATCGTTGAAAAACAATTTTAATGTTTTTTTTTTAATTAATACACAGAGGTAATACCACAATTTAATACAATATAGACAATACTGTGTGATTGTAACTGATGATAAAGCAAATTATCAATCAAAAATGTTTTGCTAATTATAAAATAAAATAAATGCTTTTATTGTCAAAAAAATTTACAATTTGTAGTCAAAGGTAAACAATTTGTAGTCAAAGGTCCTCTGAACAAACAAAAGAGAATACAAAAGCAAGTATAAAAATTACATTGTCAGTCTTGTTTAAAATAAACATTTATAAATATTTACAATGTCAAAGAATAAAAAAATAAAAATAGGATTCAAAAATATTTAGTAAGTTTATAGTAAATATAGTAATAGCAAATATTAGACCAGTCTTTACAAGATCAAATTTGATTATCAAAATATAAGTCATTTACGGCGTAGAAAGCCTTGTCTAGTAAACTTTGCTAAATGAAGAAAATTATGTTATGGATTTGATTTCAAATGGCACATTCTTTTCGAGTTGTATAATATTGAATTTTTAACTAACTCTGAGCGTTGTGTAGGTAGATAAAGATCTTGCTCCGCGTTCCTGAGTGGATAAGTGTGAGATGGCCTTTCTTGAGAAGCTGAAACATGCTTACGTATTAGGCAAACGGATTCAAAAATAAATAAGGAGGGAAGAGTTAATATTTTAAATTTTTTAAAACAGTCCTGGCAATGAGTTCTGCTGTTCAGTCCCAGTGAATATCGAACAGCTCCCTTCTGGAGCTGTCAAATTGAGTCGCACATCACGTACCCCAGAATGGAAGAGCATACCTGAGGTGCGACTCAAAAAGTGCATAATAAACAGTTCTAGCCACTGACAAGTTAAGCTCCTTAGAAACAGATCTTAATGCAAAATAGGCAGAGCTTAATTTTTCCGACAAAGCATCGATATGCATGTCCCATTTTAGAGAATTGTCTACAACAAACCCTAAGAATTTTACAGATTTTACGACGTCAATGGTGGTATTGTTAAGTACAAAAGGCTGCAGCGAGTTTTTATACGACAAAGCTGTTGTTTTAGAAATGTTGAGACTCGAGGAGGTTCGAATCGCACCAAGATTTAATGTGAGATTTTTTGATGTGATTAAGTCATTTGATATAATCCTATGAAGTGCCGTGACGTCCTTGTTGCTCCAAGTGAAGCTAGTGTAGTCCGCAAAAAGACATATTTTACCACTGATGTTAATGTTAGCAATGTCGTTAATAAAAAGAAGAAAGAAAATAGGGCCTAATACTGAGCCTTGAGGTACTCCACATTCTATTGGCTTGCTAGAAGACAACGTGGTATCTACCCTCACAAGTTGACTTCTGTTGCTCAGATACGATTTAAACCATTCGAGAGATGTTCCTCTGAACCCATAGTGCTGCAGTTTATTAATTAGGATCTTATGATTTAGAAATAAAAAAATTAAGTTAATTCTATTACAATTTTCAGCAGAATGAAATCGTTAAAAATAAAGTTAATTAAATAAACACAATATAATAACATATTTATGAATATAATTTTTTAATTTTTTTTTCCACAGAAATGGGACGATGAATTGGCGAATCGGGCGCAATGGTGGGCATCGTCCTGTCATTCGGAGAGGCACGACAAGGGTCGGCACAACTGTAAGTACCTTTTAGTGCATTTTCCATTCCTCCTCACACCCTCCTCCCTCCTATGAATAATAGATTCGCCATTGACATATTTTAATGGAGTATTTCGGGTCGATCGCCGTGCCCATTAGTGGTATAATGGCCGGTCAAGGCATATTTTATTTAAACTAAATTAGTAAACGTATAAACAGAAAAGTTTTTATTTTTTATTGCAATCGTTATGCATTCAGCATTATCGGGAAGCGCATTATATCGTTGAAGACCGGAAGAAATTCGATATAATTTATGCTTGTTAAAGGGACACTATATCGTTTGACGTTTTATCCCAGTGGCGTACCTACATAGCTTTGTTTTTCTGGGGTAACTGGTTAATAATTTGTTGTTGATGATGAGATTATAATCTAAATAAATAAAACAAAATTGGGTTAGTTACATTTACACCAATTATAACTTAGAAACGGCTGAACTGATTATACAGGGTGTCCCAGAAATAAGTGCAGATATTTTAAGGGGTGGTAGATCTGACCAAAAGAGATATCTTTTCCCTTTACCATTTTTAAAATAAATTGAAAGTAACCGAGTTATTTAGCTTTAAAAATTAAAAAAAAAATAACAACATTTTGAGAACCGCTGGCGATAGTCGGCTATGAAGGGGTTTTCCAATGAGGTTATATACAAGGAGACGCTATGAGCCTTTAAAGTGCTTGCGAAAAATGGTAACACTAGGCGTGGTTTAAGCCAGCACCAATATGGCGGCATTAGCAGGGCCGGATTACAGAAATTTTTTGAAAAATTTTATTTTACACAATATAACGACCTCAACTATTTTAAATAAAAAATTAATTAATCAAAATCACTATAAAAAACCTACAATTTTTTCAAAAATATAAATTACAAGATTAGTTTTAATGACTATATACTATGTACATTTAGAGAGGAAACACAAAAAAATAATACACATTAAATAAATTAAATTTTATTGCTCACTAAATAACACTGTTTTGTTGCTAGTATGTCTTAAACTAATTGCCTTGTTTTTATTGATGTATCTAACAATAATAACCTTAACATTTTTAAAAAAAAAATAGAAAAAAAGCGGAAAATAATTAAACATGATTACTGATTTACCATAATTAACATTTTGATAATCATTAAAATTTAGAAATCTTAGGAAATGATTATTTATTTGAGATATTTTATTGAGATTTTCTGTCAAAACAGCTATCAGAAAAATGTTTCGAGCATAGAACACTACCTGATGTAGGTTGCCAGTTTCTCCTGTTCAAAAACTTCACCCATGCTTCTCGACGGATGAGATTTTTGAAACCTAAAAATCAGATTTAATATAATATTTATTTGATAAAAATTTTCTAAAGAGAGCAAAATTTATATACTACGTACTAAATTTAAAATGTTCTGATATAAAATTTTATTAAAATAATAAATGTTTATCAATAAATATAAGTCGTTAAGACTTTATCTGCAAAAAGTAAATTTACTTTATTGATTTTGTAATATTTATCTAAAAATTAAAGCTATACTATATAAAGTTTGTACATAGTATATGCTAGCAGATGCTAAAAAGGAATGTAAATAAATGTTTAAGTACAAAATCTTAGTGTAAAAATAGAAAAATAAACCGTAGTTAAAACAAAACTTTTAAATTTGGCCTAGCAAAATACTCTTTCCTGTCAAAAAAAATATATGTAGTAAAAATAACAGATATTGTTAAGAATTTTTTTTTACAAGAATAGAAGTCGAGGCATGTTTTAATTGCTGAATTGCCTCTAACAAAGTATTAAATAACTAAACACTTTGTCAATATAGAAACACTTAATATTTAATTAATAAACGCAGTTTATAATATGCAGTAATATATAAAACTAGTTAAATGGAAAATACGAAAATAATTTAATCAGGTCCTGTATTATGTTTACACTTACCTGTGAAATGCAATTTCAGTGGATTTCTTCCTCTCTACACGTTGTCGACTGCAACAACTACTTACAGCACATGAAGACATGTTCGGAAAGTCCAAATATTCAAATAAAAACACAAAAATAGTCTTGGAAAATTAAAAAAACACTCGCAGCAACGCACTTAACCTCAAAAACTGAACTGTCAGAATTGCCAGTACCAATATGGCGTAACTGGGTACATTTCTCGATAGCTTATGTCGCCTCCCCCCCCTCATAACCTCATTGGGGTTTTCACAAGGGTTTTCAGCTTATTCGACGCCTCAGATGAATAAACAAGTGGCACTAAAAAGTTTTTTACAATTTCCCGGAAAATGTCAAGAAAAATATAAAATTTTCAACATTTTTTTTGCAAAAAAAAACCTCATAGGCGTGTTTCTGGGGTCAAAATATACTTCCAGTTAAAATATTTGCACTTATTTCTGGGACAACCTCAAGGCCAACAGTTAGTAAGCGCCATTAAAAAATAAAGATTTCAAGCAAATGACGTCTAGGGCTTGACCTCACCAAAATTATCATCGATTTTCATTGGAACTTTCCTGAGCAGTTATTCACCTGGTATTATTTAGAACGAAATGTTTTACTGTAAAGAGTTCAGTTAGAGAAACTAACAACAAAAAATAGCGCTAATTTAATTTAACATAATAAGTATTGACAATATAATTCGGTACTGCTAGCTTAGGTATTTGAAATAAAAATTAAATACGATAATAGATCATGAAACATGTGTCGATGTTCTCCAGACAAATTAGTATAAGAATCATAATTAAATATCTGCCACCTGCTCGCTACCATTTAAAGAAAATTTTATTTGTTTTTATGTTTATATTTGCTAATTATTTTTTTATTGTCGAAATTATTTGTTTCCATGCCAGTGAAAAATATAGCCCTCCAATAATAATTTTATTAAAGGTTTGTGTGGCGAGTCCAGTTAATTTTTTAGGTAGTAAGATTAGAAAAAAAAAATATCAAAATCTCACAGGAAATGTAATAATTCCACGATAATATGATATTCATTACATTAAAAAATAATGGATAAGTTGATATTATAATACTACACCTCCACATACAATATTAGATATTATAATAAATAATATAAATTTAATGTATGTATTAGGTTTAAAAAGCCATGTGTAATAATAATTATAAACGGACATATTTATTTGCTCAATTTGCGTTATAACATTATTATTATTTTCAATGGTTTTGTTTAACATTTACGTTAAAATACTCACGGGTCGATAAACGTGTGTTTGTCTTTGTAGTTATCACTATAATTGTGTTGGTTTTATTTGATTTTGGTAACTATTTACTAATTAGTTGATCATTTACTGTGTACAGGGTGGGTCAAATTCGACGCTTTTAAATGGAAACACCCTTTTCTATTGGAGATAGACGAAAACTAATATCGGTGTCTGGAGCTCAATTTTTATCAAAAACATGATGGTGAAAACCGCTCATCAATATCTGTTACCGTTTCGAAGTTACGGGGTGTTTTTCAAAAATGTGCATTTTTAACAAATCGCTGTAACTTTTTTACTATGGAAAATTTTGTATTTCTATGAAAACATTTCCAAAGCACCTTTTAACGTAGAATTTAATGGTTTAAGTAGAATTTTTTTAAAATTAATAATTTAACAGAATAATTCAACAGAAAAATTGATTTTTTATTTGGGACGCCCTCTATATTTTTAATTAACTGAAAATAATTTAAAATTAACTTACCAAAATTATAGCACACTTGATATTTTGTTATAATCCCCTTCGAAATACAGAATTTTTAGAAGTTCGCCACTTTTAACTAGTAGGCTTAGGACCCCTTATTGATGATATGCCCTTATTGGAATTCGAAAACATATTTTTCCAGCAAGACGATGCACAACCTCTGATCGCTGAAGTTATCAGCAATTTTTTGCAGCCAATTTCAAGAATAATTGAACAGCTAACCATGATTCCAGCCGTTGGCCGTCGAGGCCGCCTGACTTAGTGCCCATGGATCTAATCCTATGAATATATTTGCGAAAGAATAAAGGTTCCTTATTCTTCCGTATAATCGAGAAAAGAATTAGAAATACTTAGCAGTTATGAGTGGGTATTTTTCACCCCCACTGAGCTAATGAATTCCGCGAGAAATGTTCAAAAACTGCCCCGTAACAGAAGACGGTTGATATGTCGAACACCTGTAGCAAAATCTCATGTCTTGGTTTGCTATTTATTTTTATTGTTATTAGATATAGTTTAAATGTGTTGATGTTGGTTAAATATATTTTAAATTGTTAGAAAATTCTGCATCTCTCATAGCAAAATATTATTTTCGTTTTAATTGATGCTCACAGCTAGAATTTTTGCATTACAGCCGATGCCGTTCAAAGCCTACTTATTTAAAGCGGGCGAATTTCTATATACTCTATATCTCGAAGAGAATCGTGCAAAATATCAAGTGTGTTATATTTTGGAAAGGTAATTTTAAATTCCTTTCAATAAATTAAAATATACAGGGTGTCCCATATAACAAATCAAATTTTCTGTTGATAATTCTTAAATTATTAATTTAAAAAAATTATTCTTAAACCATTAAATTCTACGTAAAAAGGTGCTTTGGAAATGTTTCCATAAAAATATTAAAGTTTTCCATAGCAAAAAAGTTACAGCGATTTGTTAAAAATGCATATTTTTTAAAAATACCCTGTAACTCCGAAACGGTAACAGATATCGATATGCGGTTTTCACCATCATGTTTTTGACAAAAATTGAGCTCCAGACACCGATATTAGTTTTTGTCTATCTCCTATAGAAAAGAGTGTTTCCATTTAAAAGCGTCGAATTTGACCCACCCTGTACAGGGTGAGTCTTAAATAAGTGCAAATATTTTTAGGGGTAGTATATTTCGATCCCAGAAACACGATTATGAGATTTTTTCGGCAAAAAAAAATTATAATTTAGAATTCTTTGCAAAAATTCTCTGGAATTTTGTTTAATTTTTAGTTAAAAACATAATTTTTTGATAATATGGCAACACAGGTAGTAGGTTAAATTTATAAAAAAGAAAACCCAGGAAAGATCCAGTGGTTCTTAAAATCTAAGAAAAAAATATTTTTTTTTTGGAAATGATCCAAATAATTGGAATTAAAAAAAATTTGACTTATTTGAAAAACGGCAAAGAGAAAATATGTTTCTTTTATCGAGATCTAGCAGCCCTCAAAAATATGTATTTATAGGTACTTGGTGTCACGTATGTCATGAAGAAAAACATCGAAAAGTAACGATAATTGAAAAAATTGCAAAATGTTTTGTGGCAGGTTCATTTTGATCTTAAAAATTGACCAAGGCATTTGTTGACATGAATCAAAAAGCAAACACAACTTAAACAGAGTTGGCGGCTTTAAAGTAGTGGTTAACTTCAGGAAATAGGTTAGCAATACCTTTTCTGTGAAATTCACAACATGTTTTTCTTTGACCAAGGTTTCAAAGTTGTTGTAGGTGGTCTCGTATAAGGTTTTCGACTTCTCGGGCACTAACGTAGATAGCGCAGTTTCAGCAGCTTGTTGAATATCCAAAGACTCGTCATTATCACTCATTTTTTCACAAAACTTTGTAGGAAATACGGCGACGGCGACGTTTGAACCTGACAGAACTTTGTCATTAAAAAATACATAAACAATGCCTTAGAAACCGATTACCGAACATTTAAAAAAATGTTTAAAAATAAATAAATAATAAATAGCATGAAAATCTCAAATTATCCGCTTTCCCAAAAAATCTTGTATGAAATTCGTTGTGAGAAGCCTGTTTTAAGCAGTCGACCCGACGCGTACAAAGCATTGGCCACAATTTTGCGTCCCGTCCTTAAAACACATTTATTTCGCAACTTGTTACATAAATAGCTATTTTAATGATTTGGAGAAAAGCTACTATAGTCTATAAAATGAATAACTTTGAATTTTGACCGTTAATTTTTACCAACATGGCAAATATAAAATCCCTCTATCAAAAAAGTTACTGATATTCTTTAAATTGAGTTCCTGAACGAATCAGATAGGTAACTCTTTTTACTTTCGTGAAATAGAAAAGGAAAATAATAAAACAAGTGACAGTTCTTCCTCTTCTTACAAAAATCAACACGAAATGTCATAATTATCAAAAGTAAAATGTCATCAGCTTTTGACATTTCTAAATATCAGACCAATGCCGTCTCTAATAGAACAGCCCCGGAGCGAGATTTATGGCGTCACGCGAGTTAGATACTACGGATTAATAAATATGTTGTAGAATATGTATATTTTTTTTTCGGTTAAAAAAAACGTTTCGGCTAACATTATAGTATAGTATATAATATAGTATATTATGTACTAGTTGAAGCCTGGCGCATCCGCCACGACATCAAGAAAAAAATACTTTTTATTTTTTTTAAATAAATGAAAAACAAAAAATCCGGCGACGACAGTTTTTAGAAGAGCCAATTAGCTATCTTTTAGTAAAAAAGCAACTTTCTAGAGCAAGTCGTTACTTCTGTAGGGACGACACAGATAAACATTAGCATTTTATATATGTAGATATTTCATGTAAACTATATCATTTTTAAAATACAAACCAAAAATAGGAGGAATAATTATGTTTTCGATGTATTCTACAACATATTTATTAATCCGTAGTATCTAACTAGCGTGACGTAATAAATCTCGCTCCGAGGCTGTTCTATTAGAGACGGCATTGCGTCAGCATGGCAGCACGTTGCTAACCTAATAAAATTAACACAAGGAAAGCCCGCGTGAACTGTCAAATTTAAAGTTATTCGTTTCACAGACTATAATATTGTGCTACTACAATATTTATACAGGTACAAATTTTGAACTGTACAGATATTGGCTATTCGCTTGAGCCAACAGCCAAGCTGCTTACAATTATATAATAATAATAATAATAATAATAGCTACTTTAACTACTCAACTAAATTTAAATCTCATCGTTGATCTCATCTTATGATGGAAAATCAATACTAACTAGATTTAAAGAACATATATGACTCAGATAATATAGAGTAGACAAAAAATCTTGTATGAAATTCGTTTCGAAAAGAGTGTTTTAAAAACTCGACGCATTGTCGTCGACAATTTTGCGCCCCTTGCTTAAAACACATTGATTTCGTAAACCGTTACATAAATAGCTATTTTATTCAGTCACGTCGCAAAAATTAATACTTTTGTGACGTTTGAATAAAAAGCACTTTACTGTTTTTAAAGTCTCTTTTGTACATTTTATTCGCACACAATCGTTTATAATTAAGAATAAAATTAATAAGAAGATTTATATTGCTTTATTATTATGTTGTATTGGTTTTATCTGAACAAAACGTCTACGAGCAATATCCAATTTTCCGAAACCGCAGGATAAAAAACAATCTTTATTTTCCTTTTCAGCACGTTTCCCAGTCGGTCAAAATATAGCGACAACGTGGACGACGAAACCGCCTTCTTCTTACGCCGATATTGATTCAGATTTCCCGGACGCAATCTACAAATGGTTCAACGAATACAAATTCTTTAATTTCGGAGGAATAGGCCGGGGCAAAACCGGCCATTACACCCAGGTATTTTATTTTTTCGACCCTTTTCATAGTTACGGCGCTGTAAAATCGTTTCTCGTTGCCTTTTTCATCGAAGGGGTGCGCTAATGCCGATCCGATTCGGTGAAAAAAAAACGGTTTTATAAAGCCTATCTCAATATTCTTTTATTTGTTATCGTGGTATTCACTGAAATAAAAAAGAGCAAAATAAAATATTTATCTACTAAATAAAAATAAACAGAAAAATGACATCTTAATATTTTTTTTTCATAGCAGCTGTTAAAATTGCCTTATATCTATCAAAATAGTAGATAAAATAGTACTTTAACCGCAAGAGATTAAATAATACTTTAACAGCGAGGATAGGTTAAAAACTTTATTTCTTCTCGCACGTTTTTTAATTGCTTCCATTTTTGGAAATTTTTGTATTCCTTTTCATAAGTTATTCGGGATTTAAATGGAAGTAGTATGGATATGGCGTTTGTCGCCTCAGCCTGAATATCTTTGGTAATTTACTTATTTCGTTTTGAGCCATTTCTGGCTCCAATTCAATCAGCAATCGACACGAAAGAGGATTAAAAAATATTGACTCAAAACTGACAACAAGAGCTGACAACTAAAGAGACAGCTTTATTTATTTGTCAAATTACATAGAAACCAACGCCAACCCAGCACAATATTTTTTCTACTCGTAATAAATTCCATGAAATAATAATTTCTGAATATTTTTTAAAACTTACCTTGCTATGGAAAAAATATTGTTTTATACACGACGATAAAATGGCATTATCGTCTCCCGAAATTAATTCTATCGAAAATTTTAATCTTTTCGGTCGACGATAAAATACTGAAATGTGTTCTAGGTGACGTCGTTGTTGCGTTCTTGTGACGTAACTGTTACGTTACGTTCTCAAAGACGTCCTGGTAACGTAACAACGACGTCACAGTTCCATTAAAGGAATACAATGCTCACTGGGTTGTTTTTTGGTTCATCCCAATAGAATTTGTTTTTATTTTGTTGAAAATAATCGCTTTTGAAGAAGACTATAACAATTATTGAAGAGATGGCTGCAATAACCAGGCAGCTCCACTTTTTTTCGAAAATGAGATTTTTAGTGAATTACCCTTTAAAAAAATTGGCCGATCGTTTCCTGCAACAATCAGTTCTTTCAATATAACAGTACATAAATGGCGACCTTAGTTAGAGCTTAGTTAGAGCATTAAAATGGAACTCCCTGGTTATTGGAGCCACCCCTTCAATTAATAACAATTTTACCATTAAAAGGATGTTTTTTCTTCGGACCCTAATCAACACATGTATACAGGGTGGTCCGAGCTGTATTCCGAAAATTTCGGCAGCATATTCTGCAGATAAAAATAAATAAAAAAGTTCGTATAAATGTACATCCCAAGTAGCATTTTCACGACTTGCGACCACATGTTTACTAAACACAACGTTGGATTAGTTACAAAAAATAGTTAGCTCCCTACCTTGAGTATTAAAATAAATTTAAACGTTTTTATAACGTTGTGCCGACGTTTCTGCGACGTCGAATGAACGTTGTCTTGTAACCTTTTTTGCTTAAGTGATCTTTAGGTGATTCGGACAACGTAGTTACAACGTTGGACAATATAGAGTTTTCCGACGTCAGTTTCAGGACCTATTCCAACGTTATGCAAACGTCGTCTGTTTTACTAATTCCAACGTTGTTTAGATTTCCTTATTCTTACGTTGGTAGGACGTCGAGTCACTACCTTTTGCAACTATATTGAACCATAACCTTAAATCTTAAATTTTCACTTCATTGTTCTGTTCAGTCAGACAGTTCAGTGCTGTTTTTGTTTTTATAAAAAAAAACTTAATTAAAATGGGACATAAGAAAGGTACATATAAAACTAAATTTAAATATACATCGACATATATTACCGATGTTTATCCACTCCCTCGTTTATTTAGATTATAGAGGGCGGCACAAGCTAGACTCTAAGATGACTAAATTAGGCAATCTTGCGACTAATATACTACCTGTTAAGGCCGAACTGCGACTTTATTAGTCCAGTATGCGACTACTCGAACTACTCCATCTTAATCTCCAAAACAACAAAGTGAAAGCCGCCATGTTGTTAAATAAGAAAATGTTTCATCATCCATTTTCCTAAAATAGCAATTCCTGCTTTTTGAATACATTAACTTGAAATATTTGACCCTAAAAAACACGCGGAAACAATTTTTTCGACTGCGAATAAATTATTCTCATTTTACTAAAAAAAACTTCAAATTTTTTTTTTAAAACTTCTTTAATTTTAAGGCCCATTAGTATTTTTCAAAGTAGAAACAATACATTTATCAATAAAGTTGTTTGCGTTTAACTTTTTGCTTGGGTAACGAGTTACAGAGTCGGTTAAAGTGTTTCAATAATTATGATCTTCAAACATCCTCCACACTTAAATACTTTTGTTTTATTTTCCTTCACTGCCATCTGACATATGTCTCTAACTAAATCATAAAAATAATATTTTTACTATAATTATCCCAATTTAGGAAAAAACGCGACTTAGACGCCATATTAGTTTTGTATTTCTGTGAATTAGGATTTTAAACAACGTTGCAGTTTGTACTAAATTAGGCTTCTAGCCAACCTCGGTATCCAACGTCGTTTCGACCCAAAAATTATTCTCCAAACTAGTGCAGACTAGGGTTGGCACGAGGTTGTACCGACGTTGCGCCCCGACGTTGCGCCCCTACGTTTGGTCGCGTGACACAACGTTGTCCCGACGTCCAAATGCTGCTTGGGATATGTCCTAAAATGATTAGTTTCGGAGATACGTTTCGGAGAGTGCAAAAATTTCATTTTTATTTCGATTTTTTGCAAATAATTTCTGAACTAATGTCAATATTTGGATGAAAATAGGTGTCTGGGAGTTTTTTGACATGAGAAATTTGATTTTGATGTCAATGACTCCTATTTGTAGGGGGCGATACCAAAGGGCGATACCTACATGTGTTTTAACTTTTTTGAATAGTAATAAGTTTTTTTCCGTACCTGTATAAAGCTATTGAGTGAAAAAATATACATTTCCGTGATTTTTTACGTAAAAAATGTATTTTGGTAAAAATCGTTAGGCGCAACCATTCTCAAGATATGGAAATATGGAAAATATAATGGATATCAATATATGGAAAATATAATGGAAATAATTGAAGTATTGACTAAAAATGACAAAAAATAAACATGTTGAGTAGATAGTTATTTGACTAAAATGATAAATTTGGTAACTTTTTAAGTTAATCATAAACTTTTCTTCGAAAAAATGATGATTGTTCAATTATGACAGGTATTGATAATTTCGATTCCAAATATCTCGAGAACCATTACTCATAACGACTTTTACCAAGAGACCTTTTTTATGTAGAAAACATCATAAATGTATATTTTTTTACTCAGTAGTTTTATACAGGTACGGACGAAAAGTTATTACGCTTTAAACCAGTTAAAAAATATGTAGGTGGCGCCCTCTACAAGTAGGAGTCATATAAACATCAACAATTGTTTTTTTTAAAAATAGGCTAAAAAGTCAAATAATTTAGCTAAAAACTAGTTAAAAAAATATCAATATCGGGCCACCAAAAACAAAATTTTTAAAGTTTCTGAGAATCTTATAATCAAGACTTACGAAATAACAAACTATTTCCTCAATCTTTTTATTCGAGTTTGGACATAATACAATAAAAAACTGTTTGAATCAATTTCTCAGAACTTTTCAGAGATTAACACCCTTTGAGAATTAGCACCCAATCCCGAAACGCCTACATATTATGTACTAGTTTCAAGTTCCTTTTCACTCAATATAACAAAAATAACTCGATATAACTGGGTTTCAGATGTTATGGGCCGAAACTAATTTAATTGGATGTGGCTTTGCTTTCTATTACGACCCCTCCAAAGGTTACACGAAGAACTACGTCTGTAATTACGGGCCCGGGTAAGTTTTAAACTAGATGCTTATAAAGAAGAACTTTTATAACTTGTTACAGATAAAATATCTATCTAGTTCATGGTGGGAATTTTTTCACTCCTGTAGTCCATTTCGTTTAAACCTTTGAATAAGAAGACTAAGGAAGGAGCATAATGCTATCCATGTATTCATGCATGGTGGGCGGAAAAAGCACCATAAAAGCACTCTAGGGTGGGGATCATTGACAGTTCTGTTTGACGATTCATTTGACACATTTGAATTTGATTTGAAATTTTGTGGATTTGTCAGTCTTTACGGAGCTTATTTTATGTTATTTATTATTTATTCTACTACTGATAGTTGTATAAAGGTAGTAAATCTAGATGGAAATTGTGGCAGAACTTAAATTAACAGTGACACTATCGCGATTTATCGAAAAAGATTCTAAAATAGTTGGTTGTGTAGCGTGCGGTAGATCTCGGCAAAAATTGAGTGAAATAATGGAACAACTTTTCGCTAGTAAGTGACGATAATATAATATACATACGTGTAGTAAACCGATCATTTATAAAATTCACTTAAATTAACTAAATTATATATTTTTCTTGCATGTTAGCTTTTATTTATTACTTGTCAAAGATTAGATGTCAAAGAATTTAGATACGTTCATGCCCTAGACACTCAATGGTAATTTTATAGAACTACAAATTTAGTTTCATCGCCAGACGGCGCAAAAGACATTAAAGTACAGATTTTTTTAACTACTGTCTGTGGTCTAGGTTTGTCTAGTTGACAAAATGTTGGTGATCCGTCAAGTTATTTTTAAATCATTATTTAAATAATTATTAATTCAAATATTCCTGATTTGTTGGAAAGTTCAGTGATTTCAGTGATTTGTGATTTTATTAGTTTGTGCATTCTGATATTTACAGTCGATCATCATCTTCGTGTTAGCTACTAAACTTTTTTTTATTAAAGTCATTTTGACATTGTAGAAATGATAAATTTATGAACCAAATAAAAAAAGAGTTTAATCATAAATAAGTAAGTACATAGTTGGTAATATATAGTATTTTTAGTAACAGTTAATTAGTAGTCTATAATATTTTTACTATATTATAATTTAGTTGCTAAATCAAAAAAAAAAATAGGCGCTATGTGATCTACAGTTGGTGTTTAAAATGTACATATTCATAATTTTAATTTTGTTTTAATTATATTACACTTCAATGATCTAATAAAACATAAAATGGCAGTAAAAAAGTCTATATTTATTATTTTATATTTTACAAGGAATAATTTTGCGCTTGAATAACGTTACCGTTTTAATTAGCGTTAATAAGTAACGGAACGCTAAAATTATGTTATGCCAAAACTCTCCATTAGTTTCTTCCGGATCACCAGGTGGCTCTAAATGACGGACCCATTTGTTTTATATCAGTGTCCAATCTATCTCTAGTACGTGACATTAGTCTATGGATACGTTTAATTTGACTTACCTGCTTCAGTAGCGTATCGGATGTTTGTGTTAATAAATACTTATTATAACTTATCTATTTTTATTAGAATTATATATTTTTATAACAATTTTAATAACTACCAACATTTATTCACAACGTAAAATAAAACAACGAATTATTGAGTCTACCCCACGTCATAGTTTTACATTTTTTAAATAAAATTAGAACGCCACTGATAAACCGGAATTTAAGTCGGCCATATTTGAGGCCCATCGCAGTGTACCTAAGATTTTTGATATGCTCCTTCCTTAGTTTTCTTATTTAAAGGTTTATCTTATCTAAGTAATATTTTTATTCTATGGCTATACAGGGTGCTACAAATTCGAGGTACGAGCATTGGTATCTCGGTAACCATAATACATACGAAGATGATTAAATTGGAGCAAAGTTGCCACTTTGGGATGTTCACCAAGATGCCATCAAAAAAGTTTTAAAAATGTCAAGGATTGCTGAGTTTTTTGGAAAAAAACTGATTTTTTTGAAAATCAATTTTATTTTTTCCTGTCGTTACCTTTTAGAAAATCAAAAAACTAATTGCACATTCTCATAGCTACTTAACTAGGCCTATCTGATAGTATTTTTAGATGTTCAAATTAGCTGATAATTTGTGAGATACAGACTGACTGATTTTTTTTAAATACGGACCTGCATTTTTTATTTCACTGTTTGAAAGAACTCGGTCTGCTGAGTAGAACGATGTGCTACACTTGATACTTTTCTTTTGTTTCGGACATTTGAATACTATTTATGTAAACCAATTTTAAGTCCGGCTCTGTTTTTCTTAAATATTTAATCTATTCATCGTTACAATATTGACGTGGAGTAAAACTTTGAATACGGAACCTGGATATTATTTATTTGAATCTTTCAATTGGATCTATTTTCCTCATTCAATCTTAATTAGAGCTGATCAATATTATTGCGATGAATATAATCAGATTAAATAATTTAAAAAACCAGAGTCGAACTTGAAATTATTTTAAATAATAATTAAATAGTTTGTACCAAAAACAAGTGTGGCTGTGTACTCAGGAGACCAAGTTCTTTCAAAAACTGAAATAAAAAAAACAGGTCCCTATTTAAAAAAATTAAGTTGACCTCTGTATCTCACAAATTATTAGCTAATTAGAAAATATAAAAATACTTTCAGATAGCCCTAATAAAGTGGCTATGAAAATGTGCAATTAGTTTATTGATTTTCTAAAAAGTAACGACAGGAAAAAATAAAATTGATTTTCAAAAAAAAATTTTTTTTCCTAAAAACTCAGCAATCCTTGAAATTTTTAAAACTTTTTTGATGGCATCTTGATAAGCATCCTAAAGCGCAACTTTGCCCCAATTTAACCGTCTCCGTATCTATTACGGTTTCCGAGATACCAATGCTCGTACCTCAAATTTGTAGCACCCTGTATAACGTTTGTAAAAATAAATAAAATTATTTTTTTTATTAAATTAAAAATAATATCTAACAATAACTATAGCTAAGCAGCGATCAATAATGACCGAAATAGTTGGCAAAAAATTTTAGTGTGACTTAGTATTCTAAAGAATATTATAGGAGAACTTTTTTTAATTCTGAATATAGTGTTTATTAGTTGATACTATAAAGTGACTGTCAATATAGTCAAAGGACAAAATATTGACAAAGTGTTTTATTTTTCAGTGGCAATGTTTTGGGACAACCCCCATATGAAAAGGGATATCCTAGCTGTACTGAATACGGCTTACAAGAATCAAACAGTTACTCCGGACTTTGTTGTAAGTATATCAGAAATTATAGATCGTTTTATATAAGTAAAAAATATTCTTTTCTTGCTCTATGTATTATTTATTTATATTATCATAATTATGGTGTTTTAAGAAGTTATGTTAATATGTATGATCCTTATCATCAAAGATTTTTCACTGGTATATTATCATGTCATAATAAAAACTCTAACCCAAACTACAGCTTATTCAGTATTAGCTGATTCCTAATTTGAGTATTCGCCTGTCAATCACTACTGGTATCAATCTTTCTAAACAAAGCACCAATAGAGATCAGAAAATGAGTCAAAATGAGATCAAAATATTAGAAAATAAGATAAACAAATATCTAGGTAGGTAACAGGCTTGCCCGAGAAACGGTCGGCAGGCTGGTTATTAGTGGTTATGTGCGTTTTGAATATGCAGTATACCTTCTTCTTCTTTGGGTTCCATCTCCTAATGGAGGTTGGAAATCATGATGGCAATTCTAACTTTGTTAACGGTTGCTCTGAATAACTGGTTTGAAGTCATTCCAAACCATTCTCTCAAATTCTTGAGCCATGATATTCTTCTTGTTCCTTGGCTCCTTCTGCACTTTATTTTTCCTTCTATTACGTTCTGCAGCAGGACATATTTAGATCCTCTCATTATGTGTCCAAAGTACTCAAGTTTTCTCTTTTTAAGGGTGTTAATCACCTCGTGGTCCTTCTGAATTCTGCGTCGCAGTTCTACATTTGTAACCTTGTCAGTCCATGCAATCCTCAGCATACGCCGATAAAACCATCTTTCGAATGCCTCAAGCTTCTCCATTTCGGCCTTTTTAAGTGTCCAAGCCTCTGAACCATAGAGTAGAGTTGCAAATATGTAACCCCTTAGCATTCTTAATCTAAGCTTTAAGTTGATGTCTCCACTGCAGAGACATTTTTTGAGTTTTACAAAGGCTGCTCTGGCTATTTCTATGCGAGCTTTTATTTCTGCTGATTGATCCAAGTTTTCGGTCAACCAACTACCTAGATATTTATATTTTTGTACTCCCTCCATAGGTGTATCATCTATTAGAACATTGGCAGTATACCTACTAAATAATAAAGAGAGCCTTCTTCCAAAAAACAATTGGTGAAGATAAGAATTTTCTTAATAGTAATTTTATAACAAATTAATGGCTCTGAGCAAAAATAAAAAAAACTCCCCGAATACAGTAAAATTATACTTTTTATTAGAGTATAGTATAATACTAAAAAGGCACTAACATCACAGATAACAGAGATTATACCGGGTGTTGCATCGTCGGACGGGGCATTGGAAATCCCATGTAAATTTTAATGGGGTCAATTATTGGCTTCCCTAATTATTTTCGAGAATAATTCCATTTAGGTTTATTGAAGAGCACTAAAACCCACATTCAAAAGAATAACTTTAGATATTTTTGATTAGCTCGTTTACGAGTTATCGCCGATTTCTTTTTAAATATTTCTCCTTTCTTATGGCCATGTATTTTCTTATGAGCACCAGTCAAGGTAAAAGATAACTGTCAAATGAAGTTGTCATTTCAGAAATTTACCTATTTAGTGCTTTATTATTATTGAAAACTCATTCCTACATCGGAAATCTCAAAGATGTATTTATAAATACAAATTAATATGAATTAAAGTAAAATAAAGTAATAAATTACAAGGTTAATTATAGTATTACTACAATATTCAATAACTTATTAATTTAGGTACTATTAAATTGTTAGAACTTTAGGATTTAAGATGTTAAATAAAAAATAATCTCTTCTTACATTCGCTAGTTGGTAAACTGAAATTCTATTGCATTCGGCAAAAATAGCATTTTTTAACTCGTCTAGATTTAGGTATTTTTTTATCCTTGTATATCCTGTTTTTTGAATGGCCCCAGAGAAAGAAATCATTTGGCGAAATATCAGGAGACCTTGCTGGCCAATTTACTGTATGATTTAGGCCAATAACGTTTCCGTTAAAACTATTGTCTAAATATTCCCGAACAGCCAGGCTACTATGTGCCGGGCAGCCATCCATTTGGTACCAAACTTCCTGATTTTCCCTAGCGGCATCATGTAAAGCAGGTAAAATATGATTTTCGAGTAGTTCCAAATAATGTTCTGCATTTAAATTTCGCGTAAGAAATAATGGCCCGATAAGATTGTGTCCGAATATCCCTGCCCAAACATTTACTTTCTGTGGATATTGCCTCCTTGTTTCGACAAACCTGTTTTGTTTTTCTTTGTTCCAATATCTATAATTTTGAACGTTGGGTTCATTATTTAAGGTAAACGTGCATTCGTCAGTAAAACATATGTTTTTTAAAAATTCCCTATCTGTGTTTGCTCTTTCCATCATATCAAAACAAAACGCCTGCCGCCGTATTTCGTCCCCATCTCGTAGCTCTCGGTGCTTTTCATATTTGAAGGAATTGTATTTATGTCGTTTCAAAATTCGAAACGCTGTAGTGTGATCTATTCCTATTTCATCCTCAAGTTTCCTTGTGCTGATCTTTCCATCGTTCTCTTCCACGCACAATAAAACTTCCAAGTCGGTATCATTTCTTGCATCTTCTCTTTGTTCCTGCCTTGCTTCACATCTGCAGTTATTTATTAGGGTACCTTTGGTCTCAAATCTCTGGATATTCCTTGCGATTGTAGATTTTCCAGGTATCGGTCTATTCGGATACAGAGCAGCAAACATGTCCGACACCTTTTGATAACTATTTCCTTGATAATACCATTTAATCATCAATACTTTTTCTTCGGTAGTGTAATTCATGGCTAATATTTTCGATGTAGGTATGAGTTTTTAATAATAATAATAAAGCACTAAATAGATAAATTTCTAAAATGACAACTTCATTTGACAGTTATCTTTTACCTTGACTGGTGCTCATAAGTAAATACAGGGCCATAAGAAAGGAGAAATATTTAAAAAGAAATCGGCGATAACTCGTAAATGGGCCAATCAAAAATATATAAAGTTATTCTTTTGAATGTGGGTTTTAGCGCTCTTCAATAAACCTAAATAGAATTATTCTCTAAAATAATTAGGGAAGCCAATAATTGACCCCATTAAAATTTACATGGGATTTCCTATGTCCCGCTCGACGATGCAACACCCGGTATATGTTATCTACGCTAACATATTCTAGATAGGTTATATCTAGATAATTTAGAATCACAAACGATATATATTTATAATTTATAATTATTTATAATATTAGCTACTAGAAACAATAATATTATACAAGTACAAATATTGATATATCCCATGTTTGTGATTGGCTTAAATGGATGCAATCTACGATTTGAAATTAATGTCTTTTTATTATTACATCGCTATCGATATGCACGTAGTCTGCGATTGACACGTTAATTTGAAATTGTGTCATCGACGAAGTTATTTTGCCCTTCAACCAGAAATTAAATATAGTTTTGACTTCTGTTTTATCTAGAGCCCTGTATAGTTGATGAAAGCTCTTACTCTTTTATTGATTTAAATTATACAGACTAAAGAAAATATTAGATTAATAAAAGGAATTTATAAAAAATAATATTAAATTTTAATTCAATTATTTACACAGAGTTGTTCACCACATACGACACAGAGTATTGTAGCTAAACGATGAGATTTTTACAAACTGTAAGTTTTGGGTTCGATCTCGGGTTCGATGAAGGACTATTAGAGGTACAATTTAAAAATAATTTTACAAGATACAGAGTGTCCCAAATAAGTAAAAAATATCAAAGTTGTATTTTTTTAAATGGAACACCCTGTATATTATTACATTTTTAGTTTCTACGATTAAAATAAAGGTAAATTTGATTAAGGTTTATTATACTTAAACCTTACCGTTTTTGAAATATTTTCAATTTTGTGAAACTGCAGTAAAAATTTTAAGGCTTCATTTCTCCAAGGGTATCAAAGTTTTTAATACTAAATATTTACTGAAGTTTATTTACTGATCAGTTATTGTGTTGCAATAAAAATAATACTACCTTATACAGAGTGTCTAAAAATTTATTTTAAATAATTATTAGCTTCAAACGGCAATAACTTGTTTAATTTAAATGGAACACCCTGTATATTTTACGAGAATCAGTTGCACAATTTAATTGTCTATCAAATTATATTATACCATTTTTTACCTATCTCTTTAAGTTTCCGTAGAAAATGCATTTTCTTGTAATTTAGAACTTATTTATCAATATACCCATGGACTATTGACATTTTAGATTATTTTTAAAGATGTACCAAATTTATAAAGAGTACAGATACTAATATTGTCGATATAATTCGTTTATTTCATTAAAAAATAAAAAAAAACTGTTTAAATATTTGTTAAAGAGGACCAATTAATATGATTCCAGTATTCAAACTACATTAACTGACTGTTTGCGTTGATTAATAATAATTGCTCCAAATACTAAAAAGTTGAATTTTGTATGGGCATTAGACAGTGTGATAAAAAGTAACACCTTAAAAATTATATTTCATTTTTTAATAAATGCTTATTTATAACAGAGACTTTAATTTGATAACTTATTATTATATTGATTTCTGACTCAAATCCACATTTATTTATAATAATTTATTAACGAACACAATTAAGTATGTAATTAATTAGTATATGGGCGGAAATAATGGTGTTATATTTAATTAATGGTATACTCTTTTATAAAGATTTAAATAGTTTTCTTTTTGCATACAAATGGGCTAGTAATATTATCGTTTTGCTAAAAACGATAATATTACTAGTCTGTACATTTTATACATTTGTTGCTTTAAAAACAATCTAAAATGTCAATATTCCATGGATATATTGATAAATGAGGTCTAAATTATAAGAGAATGCATTTTCTACGGAAACTTGAAGGGATAGGTAAAAAACGGTATGATACAATTTGATAGACAATTTAATTGTGCATCTGATTCTCCTAAAATATACAGGGCATTCCATTTAAATTAAAGAAGTTATTGCCGTTTGAAGCTAATAATTATTTA